AGAGCACTATATTATGTCACTCTGATTCCAAAACCCATGCTTTTAATCACTGTACTATGTTGAGTCTGAGAGGAAGGCAAAGATAGAAATGAAGAGGTAGGTAAAAATTTCAGGCAATACATCCTTATTTTGTGTCGCTTTAGAAATTCTAGCAAAATCTTAAATTCCTTTTACAATAGATGCTTGAAGACTTCACTTCTATAGTCTTCCTCAAGCCTCTATTGTAAAATTTTTACCTATCTCTTCATTTCTTTTTTCACCTACACTCTATGGGTTGATAGTTCTCCCCCTCTACTGGTTGAAATATGGGACTTTTGCTCAATTACAAACTTGAGATGGCTCACCAGAAAGAAATGCGAATGGTCTGCTTAAGATTTGCTATATATGCAAATTTATGTAATTTTTCAAATGTTATTTGTTATAATACAATATTTTTTTCTGTATTAGAAATAACCCAGCTTTTCCCCATTTTATGTGTGACAGCATGATTGGATTTATAATTTTATTGTTCTTTTAGAAAGCAAGCAGAAATAAACTCACAAGCCTTTTCCTTTTGAGAATTACAATATTTTACTATTTTCTTTGAATATTTTTCTGTAGGCAAATATCCTTTCATTCAGCAAATATTTATCTGATTTGTCACAGAGCTTTCATTTTAGTGGGAGATAACCCGCTAGATAAACAAAATATATAACATAGCAAACAGTGTAAGAGAAATAGAGCAGGATAAGGGAGAGAGATGGTGGTGGCATGCTATTTATATAGTTTTCAGAGGAAAGATCTTTTTGATAAGGTGAAATCTGAGTAGAGACCTAAAGAAGTGCTGGTGTGAGTCAAGTAGGTACCAAGAGGCAGAGTATCCCAGGCAGGATAGTAGTGGAAAGGTCCTGAGACAGACATATTTGATATATCAGAGAAAAAGGGATGGAGCAGTGGGAAGAGAATGAGCAAGTACAGTCACTCGATGTAAAGCTGGAGGTAATGTGGGCGGGGGCAGTTTACAGAGGGCATTGTAGACCATGGTAAGAACTTGGGCTTTTATTCTGAGTGAGATAGGAAGCCACTGGTGGGTTTTAACATGGGAATGATATTGACTTTTAAGGAGATCACTGTGACCGCTGTGTGAGTAGACCATGTGGAAGTAAGTGCCAAACTGGGAGATCAGTAGGAGGCCTATGCTATGATCTAGGCATAAGAAGATGGTGGCTTGGACCAAAGAGAATGTGATGGAACAGAGATCAGACTCTAGGTATATTCTGAAGATAACACTGGTGGGATTTGCTGGTGGAGTGGATGTAAGGTATGAAAGAGTCAAGGATGACTCCGAAGTTTTTAGCCTCAGCTGGAAGAATGGAGTTGCCATTTCATGAAACAGGGAAGATCTGATCAGGATTTATTTGGTGGGAAAAATTAGAGTGTGGTTTGGGATATATTAAGTTTGTGGTGCCTGTTAGACATTCAAGCAGTGCTATAGAGTAGGCAGTTCAGTGTGACTCTAGTGTTTAGGGAAAAGGTGTTGGCTGGAGATTCAAATGTGGGTTTCATTTAGCCAGAGATCTGGATGGGACTGCCTAGGGAGAGAGAACAGAGTAGAGAAGCAGTCCAAGTTGTGAGATTTGCATCCTGGGCACTCCAGCATTCAGAGGCTGGAAACTGAGAAGAAACCAGCAAGGACACTAAGGAACAGCAAGAGTGAGATACAGAATGGAATCCTGCTGGGCAAGATAAGGAGCTTCAGGAAGAGAGTAAGTAAGCACCTGTGTCAAGTGCTGCTGACAGGTGAAGTGAGATGAAGACTAAGGAAAAAAAATGGATTTGAGAACATGGAGGCTACTCATGATTTTGAGCAGTTTCAGTGGAATGTGGGGATCAAGCCTGATTCATAGGTTCAAGAGACAGAACTGGAGATGACGTTTTCCCATACAGGAGAGCAGATCAAAATAACGAGGCAGTATTTGGAGGGAGATTCAAGTCAAGAGATTTTTTTTAAAGAAGGTAGCTATTAAAACATAAGTTGACAGAAGTGACCCAACTGAAAGGGGAAAAATTCATAATGAAAGCAGTCAATTCCAAGAGTAAAATGGAACTCAATGCAAAAGTGGCAAGTTTGGTCTTAGATGGGAATTTTAACAGTTTATCTATAGTTAGCGGAATATAGCAGTGTATCCAGATGTAGCAAGGTTGGTAGGTGCCGTTGTGGGAGTAGGTGGGAGCTGTTACTGATTTCTTCTATTTTCTTATATAAGAAACAAGATGATGACTTACTAGTGAGGAGTGGGGATGCAGAGTCAGGTCTAGAAGATGTTTAACAAGGCAGGGGAAAGGGATGCGGGGAATTAGCCTGAGGGGGTGAGTAACACAGCTCACTTCAGAGCACAGCTGTGTGTCTTCTCCAGCGAAGTTCAACCGCTCTCCTGCAAGCATACCATGAATTAACCAGGGTTCTGGTTTAGGTAGGTAAGATGGAGGAAGAGAGAAGGAAAGGATTGAAGGTATCTGCAAAGGCGAATTTATAACACATAACGGAATCTAAGGGAAGCAAAATCTTTAAAAAATGGCTATAACATTTAGATGTGTCCTTTAGTACATAGCTGATTCTCATTATCTGAAGTAGTTATGTTCTATAAAGTCACCATGAACCCTTAACTGCTCCTAGGGAAAATACAGCGTTAGGTGCCCGAGACTCTATTCGCAACATTTTCATCAATACAGAACTCCATTTTGTGTGTTTTTGTTTGAACACCTCATTTAATATATACTGTGGATTCATTAACACTGAACTCATCACCAAGAGCACTAGTGATTAGCCTGAAGGAAGCTTATCGAGGACAGTGTTTTCTCCACAAGGCACATCACAGCCTTCTTGTGCTTAAGAATATCAGACAGCACTTCAGCACTATGCTTGGGGGGGGGGGCACTTAAAACTGCAAAACCACCAATAAAAAGCACAAAAAAGGTGAAAAACATAACACTATATATAGCGTGAAAAGCACATTTGTTTACAGTATGAGCGCTGAAACAATAAGGCAGAGTCTCCCCTTGTTTAACCTTAGCTGGGAATGTGCATGTCAGGCAAGTTAAATTTTTTGCCACTCTGGGCCCGTGCATGAATGCTGCGCATATTGATTTTGGGGTTACAAATAAATTTTAGTAAGTAGGCCAATTCGCAAATATGGAATTTGTGAAGAATGAAGACTGTACATTGCTTGGAACTGTTTCCTCCACAGCTCAGCCCAGTCTGCTGTTGACCAAATGGTACCAATTTCAGCAGACATCTGATTATCAAACAAGAAATTAGTAGTAAACTTTGCTGCTAGTTTTCAAGAAGTTTCTGCATAAGATTTATATATTACTTTTTATAGTTTTCCAAGCTGATGTCTCCTGTTTTCAATGTATTTGTTATGAAAGTGTCAGAAGATGCACACAAGCCAGTAGGGTTTTTTTTACCTCGTTTCAGTCACACTGGCAGTTTTTCCTTAGTTACTGACAACTTAAGAGCACTAAGTAAGCTTTTCCTGGTCTCCCAAATCGCAATAACCTTACTATTAGGCAGGTAGATGTGACAAATAAGGGTATGTAATTATTTTTTTCAATCAGTTGTGATTTCAGGGTGTTTTCTCTCACATCATTCTATCTCTTCATTAGATCCAACAATAATATAACTTGTTGAAAACCAACTAAGTCACTTTTTAATACTAGTTTTTGGAGTAGTCTTATTTCTAGGTATTTGTTTCCTATTTTGCTGTTTTATTCTACGTAAATAGTCGTATATTTATGTTTATTACAATCCTTTTCATTAAGCTAATGCTGCCTCAGGAAGAATTTAGAGCAGGGAATTAAGAAAGGCCGGGACGCCACCACCCTCAGAGAAAGCTAAATTTTCTGGACTTTTCCCTCCCAACGCGCCAACGCTGCTGGTGGGCCTGTGGCGCTACACAACACTCCACGGGCAGCGATGTCGGGGAGCAGCCCCTAGGCCTTTATTCCCATGGAGAACTTCCAGGGGGAATTTCCCGTCACCAGAGGACTCCAGCGAGAAGAGGAACTAGAAGAGAGAAAAACGGGAAACAAAGCAGACGGTGGGCAGGGCAGGGATGGGGTGGCAAACATTAAGCAGGGAGGACGGGCTCAGCGCGTCCTCCCAGCCCCCGCCCCGAGGCCCCCGGCCCAGCGCGGTCGGCTCCGCGGCCCCGAGCGGCGCCCCCCTCGGGCTGGACTCCGCCCTGCCCGTGCGGACGCCCGGCCTCCCCGCACTCTGTCTGACCCCCGGAGATGCCCCGCTCCGGTGTCTCCCCTCCGCGGACAGCTCGCTCTCTGGCCGCTCGGGGAGGGACTTACTTCTAAGATGCCCACGGCAGGCCCCGCCGACGGCCGGCCGGGCGCGCAGCGTCCGGGTACGGGCAGGTGCCCAGGCCCGGATTCCGCCCCACGGTGCCCGAGGGAGTTCGGTGGTACCCGTCCGCCCGCCCAGGGGCTTCCGACCACCCAGCCGGCGCCCAAAGGGGCGGGGGCGGCGGCCCGAGAGCGCCCCCGGCGCCCTCCCACCCCCCGCGCCGCTGAGCGCACGCGCAGCACCGCCGCCTCCCTATTTAGTCCGCGATGGCTTCTCTCGCGCCCCACCGTCCTCCTCCCGAAGGCGGCTCCCTCCCCGCGCACCCCGGGGCCCCTCGGACCGGCCTCGAGCAGGTCCCCGAGCAGGACTGTCCCTAAAGGGGAACGGCGGTGGGCGGACGTGCGCGTGAGGAAAGAAGCGGCAACCGGAAAGAGCGGACGGGTCGCGAGGAGGCGAGCCAGGCCTCGGAGGAAGAGGAAGACCGGGCCGAGCCGAGGTTTGCCGAAGGCGGCGTTCCGGAGCCGCGCGGGGCGGGGAGGGCGGCAGAGGGTGGGAGAGGAGGGGCGCGGCGGAAACTGCCGAGGGTTTCCGAAGGCCGCCGCGGCCGAGTTGCCCGGATGTAGTTGGTGGAGCGGCAGCGGCGGCACCAGCGGCGGCGGTGGCGGCGGCGGCAGGAGGAGGAGGAGAAGGAGCAGGCAGCGGCGGCGGCGGGGGGAGGAGGGGAGGAGGCGGCGGAGCAGGAGGTGGAGAAGGTGGAGGAGGCAGTCGCTCTCCGCGGGGCCGAGCCGGACGCGTCTTCTTGCCCCCCTCCCCCCGGCTCGCCGCTGCCGCCGTGTAGTTGGCGCCGCTGGCCGGGCTGAGAGTGAGCGCGGTGTGGACGGAGGGAGATGGCCCGGGAGCGCCGGCGCCAGTAACGGGGAGGTGCTGAGAGTCGCCGAGGGCCGCCGGGCCCTGGTGCCGGTGCTGCCGCCCGCCCGCCGCCTGCGCGCCCGCCCGCCCGCCCCTCGCGGCCGCTCTCCCCTCCCCCGACACACACTCACAGGCCGGGCATTGATGGTAATGTATGCGAGGAAACAGCAGAGACTCAGTGATGGGTAAATCGTCTTCTCCTTTCGGGCCGGGCCGCGGCGGGCGGGGGGCGGCGGCGGCGGCGGCGGCGGGGGGGCTGTTCCTCCGGAGCTGGTGCTGCCGAGCCGCCATTTTTGTTGTTAACCCTGCTCGGGCTCGGGCGGGGAGGAGGAGCCGCCGCGCGGGCGGGCGGGCGGGCGAGGACGGCGGGTGCGGAGGGCGCGCGGGCCGGTGCGCGGGGCTGCGCCCGCGCGGGGCCTCCCTGAGCTGCGCGCGCGTGTGCGTGTCTGTGTGTGTGTGCGCGCGCTCTTGTGGGCTCGCCGCCGGGCCGGACGGTAGGTCTCCCGCGGGGAGGGGCGCGGGGCGGCCCGTTTTCTTCCTCCCCCCCCGAGATGTCTCATGTCGCCGTCTCTCTTCCTGTTTTTCAGCTGTCACGACCGGAGGGGGGACTCGCAGCCTTACCAGGTACCAGCCGAGGCCGGGGTGGGGTGGATGGGGGACGGCGGGGGAAGGGAGGAACTGCTACTCGAGCGCAGGCTTCAGAAGTCGGTGCAGGCCCTTCAGTGCAACAGATCCCAAACTAGCGCCGCGGGGCCCCTGAAAATCGTGTGTTAGGGTCCTTGAGCGCTCTCCAGCGAGGTTTAGTGACTTGTTTTGACAGGTGACTGGAGGGAGTTCGGTTTTTTTAAGAAAGAAAACGTTCTCGGCCAGGAAAGACCTGCCTTGATTACTTAGGCGTGAAGGAATCGATGGGATGAGGTGATAGGTGCCTTCTGAACCATATTTGTTTATTGTATTGGAGAACTAAAATTTACTGTGAAGGAATTAAAATTATAGCTGAAAGTTGACGTAAAGGTATTAAGATTAGATGAATGGTCTGGGAAGAAACAACTAATGCATTCGCAACTCTGACGTGTGTTGTAAACCACTATGTCTTCCCCTTTTAATTGTTTTTGGTGCAAATAATTGCCCTGCTAGTGAAAGACAATGCTTTTGTTTCTGTAAGAATCGAGATTTTCGGATACTTAGGTAATTCATTTTAATGTAGACGGTGCCAGGTATGTTGGTTCCTTTTTGTTACAGCGGTTGCTGCGTGGAAACTTTTTAAACATTATGATAGAGGTAGCCCCTGTTTTCAGGGGGAAAGATTTCATAAATGGTTGGTAACTAACTATCAGATGACACTAGAAATAAATAGTTTCAACATCTAATCACTTAAAGGATAAGAGAGCAGGTTTCTAAGCTGACACTTTTGTTACTGGCTGGCATGAGTTGTTGAAGCTCAAGTTAAAAACCTTGGGTCCCTGAGATGTAAAAAATAAAAAACATTGTTCATTACATTTGGGTAGTCAAAAATTTGACGCTACTGAATCTGCCCCTCTAAACCATAATTAACCACATTGTAAAAGACTAGTATATCATGTTTGTCCTACATGTGTTTTAGAGTGAAACTAAATCGTTATTGTGAGGGAGTTGCAGTATGTTTTGTTAGAAACATTGGGCAACATTTTTATACCTTAAAATTATATCCCACACTTGCAAGAGTAGCTTAGTTCGGTCTGAAGTGCTTTATTTCAGTCAAATTGGAGAGAATGATGCTTTCTTTTTTTGTAGGTTTGCAGAAACATGCTTATGGTTATTTACGCTTGGGGCTGTGCATTTTAGTTGTAGAGCAGAAATAGATTACAGTAGTACTCAATTGCTAATTTTATTTAGATTAACCTTTTTAATTCCTGGGAAAATTTATTGGGGAATTGGTGTACAAAGATGTCTGATTTCTTGTATTTACAGCGTACTTACTGGAGTGGTTTTTTTTCCTTTTCCTTTTCTTTTTTACATGTGGTATTATGATTTGTGTGAGGAGTTTTATAATAACTCTTGGGCATTTAGGACTTCTCCGAATAACTTAAAGGCAGAATTGAATATGGAAATTTTATTGATAGAAATTCATAAAACTTAAAGTTAGTACATCAGATTTTATGATAAAATTAATTTAGGAAGTTAAGTTTAAAGTTTCAATTCTTTCTCTCTCTTTTTGGGGGGGTGATGTTTTACAGGCACTTAAATATTCATCGAAGAGTCACCCCAGTAGCGGTGATCACAGACATGAAAAAATGCGAGACGCTGCAGATCCTTCACCACCAAATAAAATGTTGCGGAGATCTGATAGTCCTGAAAACAAATATAGTGACAGCACAGGTCACAGTAAGGCCAAAAATGTGCATATTCACAGAGTTAGAGAGAGGGATGGTGGTGAGTAGCCTTTTTTTGAAACTTTCACGTATCTTTATTTTTAATAGTAGCTCTATATAAAACAATAGGTGGTAATATTTCCAGCTTGCGGACATTACCATATGGTTATGTCATCAAAGTAATTTTATTTTTATCAAGTTATCTGATTCCTAAACAAATGTAGAAATGAGGTGCAGACCTGAACATCTGAAAATGGACTTCAATGTTTGATAACTAGAAATGCATTAATAATGTAGTCTACCAAATGCTTTATTAATGATGAGAGAAATACAGGACATTTTTCTAAGAAGGGAGCTTTAATCTTTTCAAATAAAGATTTCAGTTTGTTTGGCTTAGTTTATTTTGAGATCCTTGTTGCTACTTGAGTTTATTTTTTAAGGAGTTCAGATGTGTTTCCTAATGATAAATTATGAATTTAAAAACAGTATTTTTTTGAGACAATTCACAGGTTAAAAAAAATTTGATATTCAGAAAATTTCTTTTAGATTTTTGTTGTAAACATTTAAAATATTCTGTATTCTCCAGGATGTTGTTAATAATGTAAGTTCTATAACGTGTTCATTGAAATATTCAACTTTTTAAAAGTTACTCTCATTTCTTTTGAACACTGCTGTTACCCTTCAGTTGTTACCTTGCCTCAAGCTCTTTGTGGCAGGAGGCTGAGATCAAGTAAACTCAAACTGTTTTCTAACTTAATTTGCCCCAAATTTACCAAAATATCAGATTTCATGTCTCAAGCATTCATTGAGGAACAGACCAATTTCACTAAGATAGTTAAGACCATTTATATTTTTTCCCACTCTAAGATTTTACATTGCTCAATAGATAACATGTTTGAGATAAATATACAATATTAATTGTGCTTTTATAATCTGAGGAAACTAGTACCATGTGGCTTTCTGCTTCTGATTGTCAACCAGCTTCTCAATACTTTGCTTACTTTAAGAAACTGTCCTGCATCTTCTGGGCCTCTTTTTTGCCTCTGATAGAAATCAGCTTTACTCAGTTTGATCAGATAGTGAGAAACATTGACGTCTGTACAGAATTCCTGGATTAAGGGAATTAATAATGATCAGACTATTGCATTAAGATGAAATAATTTAGATGGTTATTGGATGGGAGGACAAAATATTTCTCTGTTGAATATAGCTATTGCTTTGTGCTACTTATGCAGATAAAGCATACATTTGTTTGTAAGTAACAGTAGCAGGTGGGTTTGGTTATTAAAGTGTTGAGTTCTTTGATGGCAAAATTAAACTATTAATAGTTTTAGTTTGTGGGTAAATTTTCTATAGTGTTATGTGTAGTCTGAGGTTATACTGTCATCAATCACTCTTTTATAGTGATTTCATTTCAAATGTTAGCTCTAGGAAGGCAGGTACTGCTGGTACTATATTTTAATTTTAAAATTTCGGGGATTGTGACCAAATAGGATGTGGCATCTTGTCTCCTTATAGATAAGTATCTTAGATTCTCTTCTAGTGATTACATTTCAGTTAATGGGTCATCCATCCCCAAATCCAGGAAGACATCAGTGGGGTGCTCTAGGAAACTTGTAAATGCTTTGATACATTTACAGTGAAACAGGCCTGATAAATTCTTTTACAGGTGAAATAATCTCAGGCACATTCTGTTGCTTATTCATTCAACAAACATTGGGCATCCACTGTATGCCAACAATTGTGTGGTGTTTATGAAAGGAAAGATAAGATGTGATCCTGGCCTTGAAGCTATACTTAAAGGTTTTTACTCTTGAGAGCTAGTGGTGTTTTAGCTGCTTACTTTTTCTCTACTCCTTTTTTTCTTCATTTTGATTTTGATTTTACTTCCCATGGGAACTCCAGATACCTCTTGTTGGCTTTTAGTTTCCTTTTTATTTGCATCTGCTTGCTGATGTTTCTTTAGCTCCATTTTTAAGAAACTTCTTATTTTTCTGATCTAGTCATTTGCTAAGTTAGGCCTCACTTTCTTTGCTTTTTAGCTGCTTGTCTATCTTCCTCTGGAGCCTTTTAACTAATGCTATAACTCCATCCCTATCTGTACCATCCCTAAGATACCTGGCTGCCATAACACCACCATAATATATATTTCCATTCTGGAGTTTGGAGGGTTTTGATGTTAATTCTGTCTGTTAAAGATGGTAATTCTTCCCTCATTTAATACTTACATATTTAGTCGTTAGACTTTGACTCCGGGTGCTTTGTTTACTGCTAATATGTCTTTGAAAGTAAGCTTTTTAAACTGCATACGAGTAACTATCACAGGCATTTGTACTACCTTAGATTTTTATCTTTAAATAAATTTAAATGTGTTCCCTTAGATTTTTATGTTTAAATATGAAACTATATAGGTAAATATGCTTACATAGAGAGAGTCAAAACCATTATCCAAAGTCAAATGCAAGTGAGTTGGATTATCTGTGCACTTAGCATGTGTAAGTAACAACTTAATGTAAGAACAGGTTACTATATTGTTTATTGAGCTACATAATTTCAAATGTTATATTTTTAATTTTAGAATTAAAAAAAATTAATGACTAGTAAATATCTAAGAACTTAAGAGCCTGTGTGCTATTATTTGTAACTTGTGTTTTACAAAAGCAAGTTAAACGAATGTGAAACTGTAAGATGTGTTGATGTTTTTCTCAGGATTGGGCTTCGCTGGTATCTATCCACATCACAACATATTTTTTTCAGTAATTACTAGATTTCTTTCATAGCACCTTGCATTTCCTTGAAAAGTGCCAGTTCAGAAATAATGTATAAAAGGACTTTAAGATATGCTGTAAAAAGTGGGAAAGTAGGGATTGAGAGGGATTGTCACTCCTGGAAATCTTTAGTTAAGAAAAGACTTAATGCAACATAGCATTTACAGTTAAGAGTTAGGGATTTTATCCCTTAGAGGTTAGTAAAGGGAATGTAGATTATTGTAAATTGAGGGAAATTATGTGAGAGTATAACTTACTAAAAAGGTTCTTGGTGAAATAGTTATTTTTATGTATCCTGTGATCTGTCTGCAGAACATATAATCTTTTGTTTAAATATAACCAAAAGCAAAAATCTTAAGGTATAATTATTAGATTTGTGTTTTGTATCTAAGACCTGTTTTCAAAGGTGCAGCTGATGTCCATACCTCACAAGTATGAGCATAGAGTGCAGCTTGAGTTTATACTTCTGTGCAATTTTAAAACTTTCCATTTGATTAAAATATGTTTTTCTGGAGGACTGGTTCTAAATGATGATTTTACCAAGTAACTTTAAGAATGATGATAGTACAGATGAATTTAGGAATGAAGCGTATCTTTACATAGATTCTGTAAAGCTGTTCCACAAAACTTCAACCTCTTGAGGGTTGTCCCCTTTTTCTCATCATCCCTCTCAGAATTAACTATAATAAGATATATTTGGAATACTTGTTAGAAATATCTTTTTTGGGGAAATAACTTAGCTCAATTGGTTAAATGAAAAGTATTCTTTATTGGTTCCCCGATTTGTGAGACTTAGTGAATTTGCAGAACTTTGTAGTTAGCATCCAGATATCTTGGGTACAAAGGAAAATTGCCCTTAGTGGTTTAGTAACCATTATTGCTAAAGATTTTCAAGTTTTTAGCTGTGTACTAAAAGTTTTTAGCTTGTTTTGTCATTTAGCTGTATCTGGAGAAATTTGGAAGTGTATTTTCATACAGAAGTTACTGTAATTAACATTTGAAGGAATTGTTCAGTAGGGACCATTTGGAGACAATTGATGTTTTCATAGTTTTTAAAAAAAATAACAGTAATATTTCAGTCTTTCGCAGTGGATAATAGACTGTGATACTTGTACAACGTGGCCTGTGGATGTTCAGATAATGTTATGTTTTGAATAAAATGGAATATGCTTTGTGTATGTAATCTTAGAAAGTACTGTGTAAATGAACAGTCTTATTTGATCCTCACATTGACCTTGGAAGGTAAACAGAACAGATAGTATCCTTGTTTTAGTTTCACAAATGAGGGAAATTTTACTTATATAAAATTGAACAAACAGTGACAGAGTTGAGTGTGGACATTAGGCCATTTTCTACTTTCTAAGTTGTTTACACTGTCAGAGATGAACCCTTTAGGCACGTTGAAAGCTTGTTTGGTAGGTGTTTACTATAACGCAAATTAGTTTAAAGGTAATTTTGCTTGTATCCTCTTAGTGCCTTCACCTGACTTTCCCCAGTGGTTACAGCTTACCTAATTATAGTGCAGTAGCAAAGGCATTGACATTGGTACAGTGTATGTGTGTAGTTCTAGACCAAATTATCACGTCAGTGTTTTACTGTTGAAGATAAGTTTCAACATAAAAGCTTGCCAAAGTTTTCTCTAGGAAGAAGCCAGTTTTCTCAAGTTAAGCCCTCATATTCAGAGATTTGTTTTCAAAGCAGCTTGGAAATTTCATACAGAGTCTAAAATTTGCTAATATTTATATTTCAATACGATTAACTAATGTTAAGTATTTTTATGTCTATAGGACATAAATATTACCTGTTTTTATTGATCCATGCTTTCTAGTATGATAGTAGAGTAGGCAGACGTGTTTGCACTGGATTTCCGTACATCAGTTTTTAAAAAAAGACCACAGGAAATAGGTATTCCCTTTCAAGAAAGAATAAGTTTGGCAGATTAGCAGTCTTCATATTTCATCTCTTCAGTATTTTTTCCTTAATTTTAGAAAACATATATGCTCTCAACCTTAGTACGTGTATTTGAACACATACCGTGTCATTTGTCTTATAGTCATCACATTTTAACATTTTTGTTCTTTTTACAGAAATGGTTATTATGTATTGTTTATGATGTAATGGTATCTCTGTTTTGCAGTCAAAAATATTTTGGAATGGTTCACTTTGATCTTTCAAAGCAGTCTTAATTGAACTGGTCTTTAGTTATGCAAGGTGTATTTAAAGTTCTTGGCATAACATAGGATTTTTGGTCCGTAATTCACAGAAAATTTACATATTCTAGGTTTTCTCTCTG